GGGGTGAGTGAGGTTTATATTAGAAATAAAAGGCATTGTTGAAAATATCTTAGCCAGACATATCCTTGACCAAAACTCTTTATTATTTTTTTATTAATAACCATCCGCTCCATGTGATATTATTTCATGTATAAATCAAGAAGTAATATTCTTATATTCCAATTAACTCAAACCAAGTCGATCGTATTCTGAAATATTTTGTGCCGTTTGTTATTGACAATATGATTTTATGGAATATGATCTGCACATTCATTCAAAAGAGTAGCCTTCCCCGTTATCTATGAAGACGTACGAACTGCTGAAACGAAACTGTATAAAGAGCGCTACAAATATTTGTGAAGCTCTCTTGAGAATATAATGACAAGAACCTTCCGAAAGGTAATGGAGGCGTGCAAAGGACTCCTCGAGCCAGACGAAAATTGGCCATCGAGTACAAAGTCAGATATCCCAAATCTTTAATATCGCTTAAAAGAAAGGCGTCTTAAAAAAAATTACTAGAAACATTCAGTCCTTGATCGGTATATTTTGAGGCTGTTTTCCATTACAAAAGAAACTCCATGACGAAGAGCTACAAATTGTTAACTGACTCACTTTAAAGTGATTGGACCAAATTCCCATCGGTAAAATATTGAACAAAACCAAAAGTGGTAAATAAAGAGGGAAAAATGTATCTAACACCCAGAAAAATGATCCACCAAACTCCATGATATGCATTTTCTTCTCTCTCTGAATCTGGCATTTAAATTTGAATTGGGAAACCAAAAATAAAAGAACCAAAAAGAGTTTCCCTGGTTCAAATGCTACGTTTAGATTAATGTATAATGTCTATCCTGTTTCTGTGATCTAAAGTACAGATGAAACCACTAATTTACAAGAGTACAAACATGAACACACCATTTTACGCAAACGGCTGTTTTGTCAATTCACAAGTTAGATGCAGCAGCTGAAACCACGAATTGATGCAAAACTAATGACCAGGTTACTTCCCTGTTGAAATATCTTGGGAGTTCTCTTCTTGCATCATCTACACAGATGCAATGCACTTAACCCTGACACCCGAGGAACAGTTAGATTAATAGTTCTTCTGACATCTCTGTATCCAATCCAAGAATCCGGCGTCCGACCTCCGATCAGTCCACGGGGGAAAAAATTGAAAGAATCACAATTAAGAAATGAGGGTTAGCATCAAAATGTGGATGCAAATTACAGGATTAAAAACACCTCCTTTGTTCGGTTTCTCAGGTAGATCACGTTACTGATGATGATCTCGAATCTTCTGTCTTGTTAATTCGGCACATGCAATCTGGGCATGGGAATGAATATATGGAGTCATTTGGTCTTTTCAATTCGATTCCTTTTGAATCACTATGTGCTCGCATATTTAGCATTTGCCGCTTGAAGCTTTTCCACCTGGAAATACCAACGCCGAAAAGGATTGAAAAGATGAACAAGGTTAAAATGTGAGAAATCCAGAAACATTTTGATCTGAACGAAGTGAAAAATTAAGAAGTGCATGTGTTAGGCTATTGATGGGAAAAATAAACCCAGCCTACACATGAGAGGGCATGTTGAAAAGAATTAAGATGAATACAAGGCACAATGATACTTCCAATTGACCATCTCTCAGCAAAATAATAGTAGAAGCAGCATAGCATTGTAGAGGTTTCAAGTACTGTCTAGGTCAAATGAATAATGAAATGTGTGGTTTGACTAGCCCAAAGTGTAATAAGTTTCCTACGGTCAATCTTCTTCTACCCTGTGATGCTCGGACTCTCCTTTCCGACCAGCATACCCATGTCGACGCGACACAGGTACAGGTATGGAATATGGGCGGACACAGCACTTTTCAACCATGTACGACGATGTGTAGTAGCTATGGGATCCGGAGTTCGATTGATGCAAAGCTTCAAGTTGAGGTGATGGCACTAGGTTTTCCACCTAGGGTTGCCACCGAGAGGATGGAGAAAGAGGGTCACCGCTATATTTTCCACCTAGGTCTTCGTCTTCCTTTCTCCCTTCTTCCTCTTTCATTTTTTCTTTCCCTTTTCTTCTCTCTCGTTTCTGCCTTCTGTTTGAATAAAATGAAAATGGACAAATTGCAATCAAGTCCCTCATTTTCTATTTTATATAACATTTAGCCCTTGTTTGATCCTCATTTTTTCCAAAATACATCTATCTTTCGACCACACATTCTTAAATAAAATCATATTACACGCAAACCCAATTTTTTTTTTATTTTATAACCACACATTCATCAATTTACTATTCCAGAATGCATTCTCCAAAAAATGTGGCTCAAACACGCCCTTAGTGAGCAAATTCCCATAATTGAAAATTAAACCACAAAATTCTATTTTAGTTTTTACCCCTTACATATTTTTAATTGTAAAATAAATCATTCTTTGCGAACAATTGATTTTGGTCAGTTCAAAATGACATTTTGGGTTAGTAAAATAATTGAAGTTTGAAAGACGTATCAAAGTATCCATGTCCGAAATTTGAACCCTTTTCAGCCATGTCCAGTATCTTATATTTTAGAAAATATAAGATCTAATATTTAGACACATATGTTAGACCCCCAGTGCGCTTCACTTATTCTAGGCGCAGGGGCAATTCTGGGAATTAATGTAATGAATGACTAGAGATAAGTAGAGGGGTCTATCATGTAATTTCTTTAGTCTGGTAGTCTGTTGAGAGATTCTATTGTTCTGTTACGGCAATAGGGGAGTGAGAAGTATAAGAGTGAGGAAGGTCTTGCTAAGGGGGAGGCAAAAAAAATACCGATATGTTTTGAGCTTGCTCAATTTGGAGAGTTTCCAGGCCTCTCGAATGCTTGGTTGTTTTCGAGTCATTCAATAATTCACTATCAATTTCCGTATTCTGTCTCAGTTCTTTCTCTGTGGATTAAATCTGTTTTGTCTTTCCTAGTCAGTGTGTATCAAATTGGTATCAGAGCAATCGTACCTGGCAGCCAAAAATGTTGCTCAACGAATGGATTCTGTGGAGGAAATGGTTGGTGTAGTGCAGGGTGAGTTTAAAAGGGAAGTGGGAACATTGAAGGAGGAGCTACAGAACATGAATAAAAGGTTCGAACAATTCCTCAAATTGCAAGAGGAGAAGGTTCGAGGTGAAACACCTCCGTATAAGGGAGGGAAGGTGGATGGCCCATTTGCAGGGGAACCTCTAGTAGCTGAAGGAGGGTCAGGTTCGACTGGATACCGACATGACTTCCGATTTCGGAGGTTGGAAGTCCCACAGTTTGATGGTTCTAATCCGGAATCTTGAAGGCTGAACGATACTTCACCCTTAGCCGGTTGACCAATGAGGAAAAGGTGGAAGCAGCAATTGTAGCTTTTGAAGGGGATGCCCTGTTGTGGTATCAGTGGGAAAACAACAAGCGATCTATAGTGTTTTGGGAGGAGATGAAGGTCCTCCTACTGAAACAGTTCCGGGCAACACACGCTGGCTCCCTCCATGAGCAGTGGCTAGCGCTGGTCCAAGAAGGCAGCGTGCACGAGTATCGCCGGAAGTTCATAGAGTTGTCGGCACCATTGGAGAACGTTTCTGAGGAAGTATCTTTAGGCAATTTTATTAATGGGCTTAAACCAGAAATTAAGGTGGAGGTACGAATTTTAGAACCAAATAACTTGGGCCGGGCCATGGAATTGGCCCAGAAAATAGAAGATAAACTGTGGGTAAATAAAACCCACAAATTCACTAACGGGTTTCAGAGGATGGGAGGCCAGTCACGGGAAAGGGGCTCCTATCAGGAATCGCCCAGAACTAATGTCGAGGGAAAACAGGCGCCGTCGAAATTTTCGGGGGAAGTCCGGCGACTGTCGGACTCGAAATTGCAGAGGAAGCGTGAGAGGGGAGTCTGCTATAAGTGTGATGAGAAGTGGGTCCCTGGGCATGCCTGCAAAAGGAAGGAATTGGGTGTTCTCGTGACCAATGACTTCGAAGGCGAGCTGGGCGAAGGTGAGGACACTGAGATAGGGGGGCCGAACTAGAAGCAGCTGAGCTTAACCAGGTTGTGGAGGTCTCACTCAACTCTGTGGTGGGTCTAACCACTCCAAAAACAATGAAACTCAAGGGATTGATTGGTGAGCAAGAAGTGGTAGTATTAATCGACCCGGGCGCAACTCATAATTTCATCTCCTTGGACTTAGTCAACAAAATGCAGCTACCCGTGGTTAAAACTGAGGCTTATGGGGTGACTATGGGGACGGGTACAGCTGTACAAGGGAAAGGTCTGTGCCGGGGGGTAACTCTACACCTGCAGGGGCTCAATATTGTGGAAGAGTTCCTGCCTCTAGGGTTAGGAAGCTCGGATGTTATTTTGGGAATTCAGTGGCTTGAGACCTTGGGGATGACACATACGAACTGGAAGACGCAGGTGATGAAATTCCAGCTTGGAAATGAATCAGTCACACTACGTGGGGATCCTGCTCTCGGGAAGACTCTGGTCTCGTTAAAAGCTATGATGCGAACCATTAAACATGAGGGAGCTGGAATTTTAGTGGAGCTTAATCAATTGGAAGGACTGGGAGAAGTGGATTTTGAGGTACCCACATTTATTCGCCACGTGCTTGTAGACTATGAGAGTGTTTTTGATCAGCCTCTGGGATTACCCCCCATCAGGGGACATGAACACTCAATTGTGCTCAAAGAAGGCAGCCAACCAGTTAGTGTTCGGCCATATCGCTATCCACACGCCCAGAAGAATGAGATTGAAACACTGATTAAGGAGATGTTGGAGGCTGGAATAATTCAAGTTAGCAACGGTCCGTTCTCGAGCCCGATTCTCTTGGTTAAGAAGGACGGATCATGGCGATTTTGTGTGGATTATAGGGCTCTAAACAAGGTTACGGTGGCTGATAAGTACCCCATTCCCGTAATTGATGAATTGCTTGACGAGCTACATGGTGCAAAAATTTTCTCTAAACTGGACTTGATATCAGGCTACCACCAAATCAAGGTCAACAATCGGGATATCCATAAAACTGCCTTCCGAACTCATGATGGACATTACGAGTTTTTGGTCATGCCCTTCGAGCTTACAAACGCCCCCGCTACTTTCCAGATGAACGACGTCTTCCGGCCTTATCTTCGAAAGTTTGTTCTAGTGTTCTTTGACGACATCTTGATCTACAGCCCGACTGAGGAAACACATCAACAACATTTGGCACAAGTGTTGAAAACTTTGCAAGCCCATGATCTCTACGCCAATCAAAAGAAGTGTGAATTTGGCAGGGCACAAGTGGCCTACTTAGGCCATATCATTTCTGGAGAAGGGGTAGCGGCGGATCTGAGCAAAATTCAGGCCATGATTTCTTGGCCAACGCCCAGTAATCTAAAGGCATTAAGAGGATTTCTGGGTTTAACTGGATACTACCGAAAATTTGTGGCTGGGTACGCTCAAATTGCATGCCCACTGACAGATCAGCTGAAGAAAGATAATTTTGGATGGAGTGCAGAAGCGGCAACAGCCTTTGAAGAGCTTAAGAAGGCTATGACTTCAATCCTTGTGTTAGTGATGCCCGATTTTTCCAAACCCTTCATTGTCGAGACGGATGCTTCGGGGTTTGGACTGGGAGCCGTTCTTATCCAAGGACAGCAGCCAGTAGCATATTATAGCCAAGTTCTTGGTCCCAGAGCACGCCTGAAGTCCATATATGAGAAGGAATTAATGGCAATAGTGTTTGCGGTGATGAAATGGCGACCGTACCTTCTCGGGAGGCGCTACATTGTGAGGACAGACCAGCAAAGCTTGAAGTTTCTGCTAGAACAACGAATTATTGGAATTGAATACCAGAAATGGATCACCAAAATCATGGGGTATGACTTTGATATTCAGTACCGTAGTGGAGCAAGCAACCGAGTGGCGGATGCCCTATCTTGTTTGGCCAATCCGATGGAATGTGCGACTTTGATTGTGCCACAATGGCAGTATTGGGAATCGCTAAAAGCTGAATTGGCAAAGGATGCTTTCCTGACTAGAATCAGGGAGGATATTGTTTCGGGGGTGAACTCGCATGTCGGTTTTACTGTGGAGCGAGGCATTTTGTTTTACAAGAATCGCCTTGTAGTGCCACGCACTTCCCAGCTTCTTTCTACTCTCATTGGAGAGTTTCATACCACCCCTGTTGGGGGGCATTCAGGGGAAACGAAGACCTATCAACGAGGCATGCGTAAGGATGTAGCCCACTTTGTTCGGGAATACTCGGTATGTCAACAGAATAAATAGTTGGCCACTACCCCCGCCGGATTACTTCAGCCCATTCCACTTCCAGCACGAGTTTGGGATGAGATTACTATGGATTTTATTGAGGGGATGCCCCGTTCTGAAGGTTGGGATGCTATTTTAGTCGTCGTCGACAGACTGAGCAAGTATGCTCACTTTATTGGTT